GATACGCTTCGCTTTGCGCCGCGATGCCCTCAGCGATGAGGCGCGGCGGCCGCCTTCCCGCCTCCCAACGCCGGTGCTCCGCCTCACTGAGGGGGGGAAGAGAAGAGAGAGGGTTAAGCCCCCAATCTGGGGGGGGGAGGGACCCCTTTTTGGGGGGGGGTTCTCCTCTTTTTGGGTTCATTTCCCCTCTTTTGGGGGTTCTTCCCCTCGTTTTGGGCTCATTTCCCCTCATTTGGGGCACTTTCCCCCTTGTTTTGGGCTCATTTCCCCTCTTTTTGGGCTCGTTTCCCCTCGTTTTGGGTTTTTCCCCTTGTTTTGGGCTCGTTTCCCCTCGTTTTGGGCTCATACCCCTCTTTTGGGGTTTTTCCCCTCATTTTGGGGCTCTTTCCCCTCATTTGGGTTTTTTTCCCCTCGTTTTGGGCTCTTTCCCCCTCTTTTTGGCCTCGTTTCCCCCGCTTTTGGGGTTTTTCCCCTCATTTTGGGCTCTTTCCCCCTCGTTTTGGGCTTGTTTCCCCTCTTTTTGGGCTCACTTCCCCTCTTTTGGGGTTTTTCCCCTCATTTTGGGGCTCTTTCCCCCCGCGCTTGGGGCTCGTTTCCCCTCGTTTTGGGCTCTTTCCCCCTCTTTTTGGGCTCGTTTCCCCTTCGTTTTGGGTTTTTCTCCCTCGTTTTGGGTTCTTCCCTTCTTTTGGGGTTTTTCCCCCTCGTTTTGGGCTCGTTTCCCCTCTTTTTGGGCTTGTTTCCCCCTCGTTTTGGGCTCTTTCCCCCTCATTTTGGGTTTTCCGCCTTGTTTTGGGCTCGTTTCCCCCTATTTTTGGGTTTTTCCCCTTTTTGGGCTCGTTTCCCCCTCATTTTGGGCTCTTTTCTCCCCTTTTGGGGCTCTTCCCCCTTATTTTGGGGTTTTTCTCCTCGTTTCAGGCTCTTTCCGCCTCCTTTTGGGCTCTGTCTCCCTCATTTCGGGTTTTTCCCCTTGTTTCGGGCTCTTTCCCCCCTCATTCTGGGTTTTTCCCTTCTTTTTGGGCTCATTTCCCCTCATTTGGGGCTCTTTCCCCTCAGTTTGGGGTTTTTCTCCTCGTTTCAGGCTCATTTCCCCCTCTCTTTGGGGTTTCCCCCCTCTTTTTGGGCTCGTTTCCCCTCATTTTGGGCTCTTTTCCCCTTATTTTGGGTTTTCTCTCCTCGTTTTGGTCCCCTTCCCCCTCTTTTTGGGCTCTTTTCCCCTCTTTTTGAGCTCTTTCCCCCCCTTTTTCAGTTTTTCCCCTCTTTTTGGGCTCTTTCCTCCTCCTTTCAGGTTTTCCCCCCTCATTTTGGGCTCCTTCCCCCCCATTTTGGGCTCCTTCCCCCCCCTCTTTTTGCGCACATGATGACAGGGTCCAACAACGAACCCATTGGTTCCTTGCAGGTGATTTTTGGGCCCCATTTGAGAGGAAAAAGGATTATTTTGCTTAATACGAAGGCTGGCACCCGTGGGGGCTTCTCTTGCATGAAATTGGTGGGGGAAAAAAAAAAAAAAAGGCCATTTTGGTTAATCTGAAGGGATGGGCTGATGGATGAAGATCTGAGGATGGTGGGATGATGGACAACGCTCTCCTGGGACCAAATCGGGGGGGAAAAAAAAAAAAAGAGCAATTTTGGTTAATATGAAGGGATGGGACCAATCGGTGGCCATTTCTTCAGGGCGGTGGCACCGAGGGACGCGACGGAAGACACGAAAGATGACGAAGAGCACCCAAACCAAGACCCAAATGTCGTCACCTCCCGGGGACACTCACGTGGGTGAAGTCGGGTGCTCTCCAGGCCTTGGCCGCCGCCGCCACGTCCCCTAACAATTTCCCATCGGGCCCTCGGAGGTCGTTGGCCGCGTTCCCGTCGTAGTTCCCGCAGAGGCCGCAGAGGTGTTGGCTCAGGTCCTTGGTCACCGTCACCGTCACCTCCCCAGTGGGGCTGAGGCCGATGATTAATTCGGGTTTTTGGGTGATCCAGATGGTTCCTCGGCTCTCGGTGACGGTCAAGGTGGTGGAGAGCTCCAGAGGGAGGGTGGCTGGGACCCCGTTGACCTGGAGAAGACAGCGATAGGGAGAACCTGGCCCCGTGCGACGCGACGTTGAAATCAATTCAAAATTGGGGTGAAAAAAGCCGGAAAAATCGGTCCATTCTCCACCCCCGACCTTCTCCATAGTGGTGGAACCCAAATCGGGATGAAATCCCTCCATTTTAGGTACGGAGAGATGGAGTGAAGCACCCCGGGACGGGGGGGATACGGGGGATGGAGGTGGGATGAGGACCTGGACACCTGGGTGCCCTCCATGGGGGTGGGAGAGGGGTCTGGGGGGAAGGAGGGCACCCATGGGTGCTCCCTTTATATTACTGGGGGAAAAAAAAGGCGATTTTGGTCAATCTAAACGGGCTGAGCAGATGCACGGCCGTCCCTCGATGGCGGTGGGATGGAGGATGACACCCATGGGTGCCTCGTTTGCATGAAACCAGTAGGAAAAAAAGGCAATTTTGGTCAAAAGGAAGGAATGACTCAACGGGTGGACATCTCACGACGACGGCGGGATGAAGGACAGCCCACGCAGGCGCTTCCATTGCACGACGCTGACGGACTTTGCAAGATATTGGTGGAAAAAAAAGATGGATTTTGGTTAAAATTAAGGGCAGAGGGACTTTACGGGGTGGGGACAACCTACCCAGACCTTCTTGTCCCTCTTGATGGTGAGGAAAGGCTGGGAGTTGAAGAGGTGAAGGGCCACCACGGCCGGTCGGTCTTGGTCCTCCCAAACATCAACCAAGAGCCGGAACCAGCGGGAACGCTGAGGGTCACACAGGGCGGTCAGCACGTAGACGCCGGTGACCGTGGTGGTAGCGGTGGCTCCGTCGAAGGAGACGAAACGAGAGGCGGGAGCTAAGCTGCAACGGCCCGGTTGCTCCACGCAACCCCGGACGCCGTTCTTGAGGCCGCACGTTTGGCCGAAGGAGCAGCTGGCCGGATTGCACCGCATGCCGCCCGCCGCCTGGCACGTGCACCTCTCGCTGCAGTCGGGGGAGAGGACGGTCTCGGCGATCTGCGGAGGGGCGATAAAACCGCCGCGCTCAACGGGTTTCCCCTTGCAAAGATTGCAAAACCGGGGAAAAACGCTGCGTGCAACGGGTTTTCCCCTTGCACGGGCAAAGAAACGCTGCATGCAACCCGCGTCCTCCTTGCAAGGATTGCAAACGTGCACAGAAATGCTGCATGCAAGCGGTTTTCCCCTTGCAAAGGCAAAGAAACACTGCGTGCAGCCCACGTCCTCCTTGCAAAGGCTGCAAACGGGCAAAGAAATGCTGCATGCCCTTGCAAAGGTGCAGAAGGCGAAGAAACGCTGCGTGCAACCCGTGTCCTCCTTGCAAAGGCTGCAAACATGCACAGAAATGCTGCATGCAAGCGGTTTTCCCCTTGCAAAGGCAAAGAAAGGCTGCGTGCAACCCACGTCCTCCTTGCAAGGATTGCAAACGTGCACAGAAATGCTGCATGCAAGCGGTTTTCCCTTTGCAAGGGCTGCAAAAGAAAGACACGGCTGCATGCAAGGGGCTTCCCCTTGCACAGGTTGCAAGAAGGAAAAAAGGTCGCGTGCAACCGGTGTCTTGCAGAGTTGCAAGGATGCGAGCGCCCGTGGGGCGTGCAAGGGTGCGACGCTCCCCTTGCAAGGATGCAATCGCCCGTGGGGCGTGCAGGGATGCAACACTCCCCTTGCAAGGATGCAATCGCCCGTGGGGCGTGCAGGGATGCAACGCCACTTCCCTCCTTGCAGAAACACAAAGCTGGTGCATGCAACCACTTCCCTCCTTGCAGAAACACAAAGCTGGTGCATGCAACCACTTCCCTCCTTGCAGAAATGCAACCCCGCCGCATGCAACCACTTCCCTCCTTGCAACCTTTGCGAAACCGAAAAGCAGCTGCATGCAACCCTTGCAGAAATGCAAACCTGCTGCATGCAACCACTTCCCTCCTTGCAGAAACACAAAGCTGGTGCATGCAACCACTTCCCTCCTTGCAGAAACACAAAGCTGGTGCATGCAACCACTTCCCTCCTTGCAGAAATGCAACCCCGCCGCATGCAACCACTTCCCTCCTTGCAACCTTTGCGAAACCGAAAAGCAGCTGCATGCAACCCTTGCAGAAATGCAAACCTGCTGCATGCAACCACTTCCCTCCTTGCAGAAACACAAAGCTGGTGCATGCAACCACTTCCCTCCTTGCAGAAACACAAAGCTGGTGCATGCAACCACTTCCCTCCTTGCAGAAATGCAACCCCGCCGCATGCAACCACTTCCCTCCTTGCAACCTTTGCGAAACCGAAAAGCAGCTGCATGCAACCCTTGCAGAAATGCAAACCTGCTGCATGCAACCACTTCCCTCCTTGCAGAAACACAAAGCTGGTGCATGCAACCACTTCCCTCCTTGCAGAAACACAAAGCTGGTGCATGCAACCACTTCCCTCCTTGCAGAAATGCAACCCCGCCGCATGCAACCACTTCCCTCCTTGCAACCTTTGCGAAACCGAAAAGCAGCTGCATGCAACCCTTGCAGAAATGCAAACCTGCTGCATGCAACCACTTCCCTCCTTGCAGAAACACAAAGCTGGTGCATGCAACCACTTCCCTCCTTGCAGAAACACAAAGCTGGTGCATGCAACCACTTCCCTCCTTGCAGAAATGCAACCCCGCCGCATGCAACCACTTCCCTCCTTGCAACCTTTGCGAAACCGAAAAGCAGCTGCATGCAACCCTTGCAGAAATGCAAACCTGCTGCATGCAACCACTTCCCTCCTTGCAGAAACACAAAGCTGGTGCATGCAACCACTTCCCTCCTTGCAGAAACACAAAGCTGGTGCATGCAACCACTTCCCTCCTTGCAGAAATGCAACCCCGCCGCATGCAACCACTTCCCTCCTTGCAACCTTTGCGAAACCGAAAAGCAGCTGCATGCAACCCTTGCAGAAATGCAAACCTGCTGCATGCAACCACTTCCCTCCTTGCAGAAACACAAAGCTGGTGCATGCAACCACTTCCCTCCTTGCAGAAACACAAAGCTGGTGCATGCAACCACTTCCCTCCTTGCAGAAATGCAACCCCGCCGCATGCAACCACTTCCCTCCTTGCAACCTTTGCGAAACCGAAAAGCAGCTGCATGCAACCCTTGCAGAAATGCAAACCTGCTGCATGCAACCACTTCCCTCCTTGCAACCTTTGCGAAACCGAAAAGCAGCTGCATGCAACCCTTGCAGAAATGCAAACCTGCTGCATGCAACCACTTCCCTCCTTGCAGAAACACAAAGCTGGTGCATGCAACCACTTCCCTCCTTGCAGAAATGCAATCCCGCCGCATGCAACCACTTCCCTCCTTGCAACCTTTGCGAAACCGAAAAGCAGCTGCATGCAACCCTTGCAGAAATGCCAACCTGCTGCGTGCAACCCCCCCTGCAATCCCCCAACTCACGGCACTTCGCAGCCGTCCGCCACTCCTGGAACTGCCCGCCGGCGGCCTGGCAAGCAGCGGCGTAAGCCTGCAAGCTGCGACACAAGGCCGCGGCGTCCGGCCGGACGCATTGCTCCAGCATGCACGCAGCCACGTGCTCCTGGGGCGCCACCACCCCGTGACACCCGGCGAAGGGTCCCGTCGCCTCCGACAGCACCCCGCAGGGGCCCGGATTGGCCGAGGGGCAGACGGGAGGTTGGGGCCCATGGGTGCAGGTATCCGTGAGGGTGCCCGATGCGGCCCCCAGTTCATCGGGGTCGATGAGGTCATTGCCGGCGTCGCCGCTGAAGTCACCGCAGAGGCCGGTGGTGCGGTGGCGGTAGGCGGCGGGGAGGGTGAGCAGCGCGTAGGCGTCGCCGTCGTAGAGGAGCTTGGGGCCCCCCTGCACCAGCAGCACCCGGTAGGTGCCCTCCTGCGACACCGTCACGGCCGGGAGTGCAAGGGTGCAACGCTCCCCCTGCAAGGGTGCAACGCTCCCCCGGCAGCACCCACCTCAAAGTAGCGTCCGTGGTGCAGGCAGCCGCAGAGGTCCATGCTGACGCACTTGTTGCCGTTGAAGAGGAAGCCCTCGTCGCACTGGCAGCCCTCGAAGCACTTGGTGGTGCAGCGGGTGCTGGCGGAGAGGCTGGCGCAGGTGTGGTCGCAGGTGCGGGTGCAGAGCTCGTAGTGGCTGTTGGCGGGGCAGGAGAGGGCTGGCGGGTGACAAGCAGAGAGAAAAAGCGGCGCCTTTGCTGTTTGCTCTTTATTTTCCCCTTTTCCGCGGGCGCAAAAAGAAAACGGCGCGTTGCAGAAGTCGCCGCGAGAGCAAATATTGCGCAAAGGCGGAGGTTGCACGCCAACCACTTCCCCCAGCACAAAAAAAAAAAATCCCCCTCCCCGAACTGGCGCCGCTGGCTTTCCCTGGGGGGGGAGGGGGGGGAATAAAAAAAACCGCAAAGCAAACCCAAGTTTTGCATGCAACCGCCTTCCCCCTTGCCAAAAATTTGCAAGAACTAAGCCAGCGCCGCAGGAAACTCCTTCCCCCTTGCAGAAATTTAAAAACAAAAAAAAATAATTGCAGAAACTCAAAACTGAAATTGCAGAAACGCAAACGCGCTGCGTGCAGTCGCTTTCCTCCTTGCAACCTCTGCATTTCTGCAAATTTCTTGATTTGCAATCCTGCTGCATCCAACCGCTTTCCTTCTTGCAACCTTTGCAAAACTAAAGAGCAGCTGCATGCAACTGCTTTCCCTCGCAGAAACACAAAGCTGCTGCATGCAGCCAATTCCCCCCTTGCAGAAATGCAATCCCGCCGCATCCCAC